GGGGGGGCTTTTACTGATCTACGTAGTTGCTCCGTTCGAAAACCGCTCCCAAGTGCAGAACTATTGAGTGGCACACTTGCAAGTGCAAAACACTTAAAAGTGTTTAACTGGCAGTTTCAAACTTGCAATTGTTGCAGAGTCGAACGATCGGTGTATCATGGTTCATTGTAATTTCATCACACCTTGTGTTGCATCTTCACCTTAACTTTTGGGAATACTGTATGTTTTGTTTCTATTGTTCTTTTGCAAATATTATGAAGCTCATATTGTCTTCTGGTCTTTCTCTATGTTAAGTTTGTTTAGTTTGTTTCGAAACCTTTTCGGAGATTTAACAGAATGAGTCATGTGAAGCTATCTTGAGGGAAAACGCAAACCTGAGATTAACATTCTAAAAATTACGTAACTACATTTATTAAAATAAATTACAAAGTATTTGGTAAATGAACGGTATGGATTGTGACAGGTACTGGCAGAACAGCGGCACTAGTTTAAACGGATGCTTGCTGTCTTATGATGAGGTCGAATCACAGCTTGCAGACGCAGTCTTCTTATCCGTAGTGGTGACCGTGGTGGTGGTGGTGGTGGCCCCCGTAGCCGCCGTGTCCGTAGCCGCCGTGTCCGTAGCCTCCGTGGTGGTGGCCTCCGTAGCCTCCATGGCCGTAGCCTCCATGGCCGTAGCCTCCATGGCCGTAGCCTCCGCCGTAGCCTCCGCCGTAACCATAACCGGGCATCGCCACGGCGACAGCGACAATAACAAGGAGGAATACCTGTTGAGAAGGAAATCAGGGCAATTGTTATCACGTGATGTCCATAAGTCAATGTGGAGCTCAACGCAGGCGGTTGCCGCTGGCCTCTCGCTACTCACCAGGACAGTCTTCATGGTGGCTGCTGCTTGTGCTTTGGGGTGCTGGCTGGAGAGGTGTGATGCCTGCCTCCAGCTCCTGTCCGCTTATATAGGAGCGAGTGACGCGCCGACGCCCGGGCCCCGGCTGTTCGGCAGCCCCTGGCCGCGGTCAGTCCCTGCCGGTCGCCCCCGTGTGACGTAGGGGACCACGCCACGCCACGTTATGACGACCGTCATAACCGGGCGAGGAGTCACGAGATTCAGCCCAAAGGGTAGGGTACTAGACCCCCCCCCCCGTCTGTTTATTAAATATTAAATGGGGCATTCGGTAGAAAAATTAAACCACCTATAGATACAGTTGGCCGAAGCTAATGTGCACTAGTTTCCACAAAATTCGTGATAAACCGAATGGTTAACAATTTGTAAGTGCGCTACCGCATGTTGGATAGTTGCAAGTGTTTCACTGCCTAGAAGTAACTTGTAAGTGTCTAGCTCCGTAATTGTCTACTTGTTGTAAGCGTGCAACTCCTCTGTTTCACACTTCCTACACAATGAGCGTCCAACTTAAGGGAGTGTTCAACGAAGGGAGTTGCACACTTTCAAGTACACAACTGCGGAATTAAATACAGGGTGGCTTTTGAATACAATACAGGGTGGGTGGTGTAGGCCAGACTTGTTTTCATGGTTTTACTGACCGGGGCCTTAAGGCGCTGTGGTGAGAATCGGTAAGCCCGCCCGCGATCTACCCTGTGCTTGAAAGTATTTACTATGCAATTGTACACAAACAAGTGTTGAGCAGTTGCACACTTGGTTTTATCCGAGGGAAGAGGGAGTAATCTGCCCCGCGTATCATGCAAGCGAGCAGACGGTAGGCCCGTACAAAATTACAAATGCAGTTTTTCTAATAAAAGTTGTACTAATTCCATATTATTTCCTGATTCAAATATTTTCCCTTTTCCTAACGATTGGAGTAGGAATTTCCACATTTTCAACTCGTTTTACTGCTTCGCAATAGAAATGCAAATGGCCTAGTGCTTGCACAATCACCCTCTGTTCAAGTCGAAGTATTTAACGATAAATTTGTGGGGAAATCGATACGCGTGTCCCTAACTCACAGAGTAAAGCAGCGCACGTAGAAAAAACTTTCGTGGCTCTGCTAAGTTTTTAGCACCGGGGCTAAAAAATTAACTGAATAGACTGGGCTAATTTATTTAGCACCAGGGCTAATTTTTAGCCATCTAGTAAACCACAACGTTTATTAACCGTGTAGCTAATGTCACTTAGCTATTGAGCTAAATAATTTTACAACCGGCTAATTTTTTTTTGCACGGGTGTAAAACTGTTCGATTTGCACGGAACTGAATTTTATTTTTCTGCGTGCGTCTAGAGAAACGAAGAATCTTACCGCGACGCGACATACTTGGTTTCACGAGCGTCGCGCAAAGATACTACTTAGTGTCTCTAGAGGCGCTGCGCCGTACGTGCTTTGAGTTAGGGACCGAGCGAATACATGTTCTAGTTGGAGAGTACCTTAAAGTGGATAGAAAGCCACTTGATGTAGTTTAATGTAGCACTATCAAAACTTCTGAAAATACGCAGCCAACTGAGATTGGTACGCTCTTTTTTCCCATGTCAGACGTAAGAATCGTCTTTACATTAAGTGACATTCATTTTGTTGCGTGTAATTCTCACGGTTTACCTCTCGAGGCTCCCTTGGTGGGGCTCGTTCCAATTGTTATTATTGTATCGGTTCAGAGCAAAACAGAGGTGACTCAGAAGATAATGCGGGACCCACCTCTCACGTCTCCCTCCTCGCCCCTCGTGAACCGGAGGGGGGTAAAGAGAGGAAAGGGGGAGTCCGTGTTTGTGTCCGCGGCTTCTGAGTGTAATCCTATCGCACACTTTTAACATAACGTTTTCCCAGTGACGTGAGGTGATAGTGGAGGGAAGGGAGGGGGTATGCTTTGCGGAGACCCCCAGTGCGTCATCACTGGCACGTTGGTGCAGGCCTGGCGCCGGGGGGCAGCGCGGCGGACCAGTTTGCCGGCCAATATATATAGAGTCGCGGTCTTCACTCCAGCATCACAACACTCCTGTGAAGCAAAGCAGCAGCAAGCAGCAGCAAGCAGCAATACTCTGTCACCAAATCAGCCCTCCCCCGCCATCAATATGAAGCTCGTGCTGGTAAGCAATGACGTTTGATCAGAATAATATGACTAAGGCTTTCTTTTCTTTTCGACTCCAGTTAGTAGTCTCTCTAATGCATGGCAAATTATCCAATTTCCCTTTCATCCATTTTTTGGCGAGTTTTACAAAGAACCTGTTTGCTCATCCAGGCCCTCTTCCTCGTCGCCATGTGCTTCGCCGCGGCGCTCGCTCAGTACCACCACGGTGGACACCACGGCGGCTACAACCACGGCGGTGGCCACCACGGAGGCCACGGCGGCTACAACAACCACCACGGTGGCTACAACAACCACCACGGTGGTCACCATGGCGGCGGCCACCACGGCGGCGGCCACCACGGCCACGGCTACCACGGCTAGTCAAACCACTGCACGGTGTCGATAGTCCTATGCGCTCATCTTTAGTACCTGCTCGTCATTATAAACTCATTTTTATCACTTTCACCAATTTCGCCATTGAAAGTTTTCTGTCAATATGTATTTATATGTAAATAAATTTTTAATGTCGAAACAATTTTTGTCTATATTTTTATAATTTACCACATGATTACCGCATGCTTGTTCAAATTCGAGCAGTACAATATCATACACAAAGTAACAACCTTGGATGTGTGAAGTGTGGGAAACATAAAGGTCTTTCCAGATGGTTCCTTCGATCAAAATCGACTGATTCACTGTCTACGTTTTGCTCTATGAATAATTGCAATTTGGGACTTGGTAGTGGAAGCAGGTAAAAAAAGCAATAGATTTTTTTCCAAAGTTTATTTTCAGTTTGAATAAATAAGGATGACTAGTACGATTTGAACAACCGACAAATCTCTCCATGTACACGTGTACACAAGTACGGCGCACCAGGGGTACGCTATCACAATAATGTTTGTCTCCCTTCCTGTTTGCCGCTCACTTAACACTTTTACTTATAATATGGGTCGTAGGCACCCGAGTATCCACCAGGGCGGCCGTAACCTCCGTACCCGCCCCCGTACCCGCCCCCGTACCCACCGCCGTACCCACCACCGTACCCGTTGTTTCCAGCGTATCCTCCGTTGATTCCTGGGCGGTAGCCGGAGTACCCACCGTATCCCGGTCGGCCACCGGGATAACCGCTGTAACCACTGTACCCGTTGTTTCCACCGTATCCACTATAGCCGTTGTATCCACTGTAGCCGCCGTAGCCAGGTCGGCCACCGTAGCCGCTGTAACCGCTGCCGCCGCCATATCCCGGTCTGTATCCGCTGTAGCCACCGCCGTAGCCACCGCCGTAGCCACCGCCGTAGCCACCGCCGTAGCCACCGCCGTAGCCACCGCTGTAGCCAGGGTAGCTGTCGTATCCACCGCCGCCGTAGTAGCGGCCGTCCCTGTAGCCGCCTGGGCCGTCGTAGCCTCGGTCGGGGCTACCCGCGAGGCCGTAGCCGCCTCCGGGCTTGGCCCAGACGACGGCCGCCAGCCCCAGGAGCACCGTCAGTAGCAGCTGCAACCAGAGCACATGGTGGCATATGGGGCTTCCCTCTTTACGTTCACTCTGTCACACCACCACACACACACACACACACACGACACATCTCCCTTCTCTCCCACGCACGCACGCACACATTCTCTCGCTCTTACACACACACACACACACGCACATTCACGCGCACGCCCTTAGGATCATCCCTCCCAACTTACAACGGTGTTCTTCATCGTATGGCGAGACTGTTGCGTTTCGGTCCGTGGCTCGTCGAGCACTGCAAGAAGACGGTGACCTCCGTGTTCTTTTATGCGCAGTGCGTGGGCCGAGCTCGCCGCCGCTCTATACTCCAGCGAGGGGCGGCCAGGGGCCCTGCCGCTGCTCCTTAGTGACCCTGTCCGGCCTGCCCCGGCCCGGCCCGCCCCACCTCCACCGCCTTCCGGAGTGTACCGCAGCGGCGGCGGCCGCGTATTGTTTCGCACATTTGCATTGGTCATGAGGTGTAGCCTCTCCCGCTCCCGCTGCCGTGCTGCAGGCGGGAAACTATATGGAGAAGATCATACGGCCCGTTTCGCTCGTGGGGCCTACCTATGACTGCTGACGACGATCACATGTTTTTCCTCATTGAGTTCGAGTCAGGTGCCAAAAAAAAATCATTGCTACTCTTTTTTAATTTGCATTTAGAATGAGTGTGACATTGAAACACTTATCAGTGCGTGTCAAAATTTCACACTTGATGGTGTGTTTGACATGTCACGTTACACACAGACAAGCATGTTTCGCGGCCGAAAACAATTATCTTTCGGGGCAAGCTGTGCTTGCCAGTGTCATCCGAATTCCCTTATTTGTGCGTTCCCTCTCGTCTTGGGTATCATGTCGGCAGACAAAGAGACGCGAAGGCTGACGACCGCCGTCGTCAAGACAAGCCCGGAAGGACGGCTCGGTGGCAGTCGGGCGGACGGACGGTTCTGTTTCACCGAAAAAATGATAATTATTGTCTGGTTGGGCAGACCGGCAACATCCTCCTATGACGCGCCGCCACCGCCGCCCTACCGCCGACTCATATAAAACGGAATAAGGAAATGTCGACACGGAGCGGTGAGCCCCGTCGGCTGCACCTAACTCATTACACACACGGGTGTTTTGCTTTTGCAGGTGGAGGCGTCGCGCGGTGGTTATTGACAACACCTTCTTGGTGAAGGGAAATGACACACACTCTAAATCTTTTACAAAGAATTTGTTCGTATAATGCAAAGAATTCTGTGCAACCGTAATATACAAGAAATTTCCTTGTATTACAAGAAATTTCCTTGTATTAAACAAAAGTTTTCTTTGTATTACAATGATTCTTCTTTGTATTACAAAGAAAATTTGTCTTTGTATTACGGTTGCACAAAATTCTTTGTAATACAAGAATTTCTCTTTGTAAGAATTTGAGAGTGCACGCCACCGCCATCGCGCCGTGGTCCGTCGTGGTCCACGCTGTCTGTTTTGTTTGTTTGTTTTTAGCGCGCTATTTTATTTGTGTTCCGGGGTGGGCCTTCCTCCCTCCCGGGATGGAGTTGCGGGGCGAGCGGCCTCCTTACGGGCTGCGCCGTCTTCGTCAGCATCCGATCCGAATGGGAAGGATGTCATGATCGCCCCGCCGAGCCTCGGCGGCCGCTTCAAGGCTCTACGGTCGGTCTGTGGCCTGCGCAGCGACTGTTTTCGTGGGCGGACCGCCGGCCGGCCGATCTGACCCGCTGCCGCTGGAGAGGCTAAGTCTGTCTCCCCCTTAACCAACACCCCCCCCCCCTCTCATGTCTCTCTTCCCCCACCCTCCCCCTCTCACCCTCCCTCTCCCCCCTATCGCTCTCCCTCTCGCCCCTTCGCTCTCTCTTCCCCCTCCCTCCCCCTCTCTCCTCCCGCACGTAGACTAGAGAGACGAACGTGATACACTCTTGGTGTAGACAGCTTGTCTAGGCAAAACTAGTGCGTGTGAGAGAGAGGCCGGTGAGTGGACGCGGTTTGCGAACGTTGCCCCGCGAGAGGGGCGTGCCGGTGACGCGAGAGGAAGGTGAGGGGGGAGAGGAAGGTGAGTGAGCCGGGTGGAGGGGATTTTCGCATGCTCGAAATTATGTCAGCGCGAGAGGCATGTCCTCGCGGCGCAGAATACCAAAGCTTTTGTCTTTTCTTTATTGTTATTTGTCTCAAGTTACGTACTTATCTCGTTTCCATTGTGCGTAAGATTAACCACAATCTATCCTCATCCTAGCCCCCCCCCCTTTCATCCTTTTTCTATACTTGTTTGTTAAACAGTATCGCGATATCAGCCATTAAACGAAGAGTAAATTTTAATTCTCCGATGTTTTAGTGTTGTGGTCAACATTTCAGAGGCGAAGCGAAATAACGATTTTTAACAGATGACTTCTAATTTTAGACGTGTAATGTGTTTATTCGAGCAACATATTTGAATCAACGGGTTTGCATGGTTTTATAAGTTGATTGCAGCATTTTGTTTCATAAATTACTTGCTTCTTGGTAGGATGATGGCATGCCCTTCTATTTTGTTGACATTCTTGACGAAATTGTACCCGTTCAAAATTTACATCGTCACCATAACATGGGACGACTGTGGTAGTTTGGGGAGAAGGACGAAATTAATGTTTTTCTACCCAACCAATTGAATTGGCTTAAGATAAATCTTTTGTTTGGCACATTTTGTACCGCTTTGTATCGTACCATGTGCCGCTACGATGATGATGTTCAATCGTCTAAGTACACTTCCTTTCAAGACCTTTGCTTTTCTCGTTTTGGTGTGCAGGAGTGCATATACGTGGGGACAGCACTCCAATTAGATCTCCATGTTCTTGTTCGGACGCACCCCCCGCACCTCCCTCTTCCCCCGGGTCCCCTCCCACTCCCCCAACGGCCTTGTTGAATTGGCGATACAACGGGCCGTGACTCCGGCCCACTCGCCGCTATATTGGCACGCACGAGTCAACGGCCATCCTTTACCCACATTCTAATCTCTGTGCGGCTCACAATGAAGTCTGTCAAGCGGACAGTGTCCAAATCATTCATAATTGTTTTGCACCCATCTCTCATCCTTTTTATTCACACTTAATCACTAAAATAAATACACACACGCACACACTCATACACGCCTACAAGTCAGCCCGTGCTAGTGGAAGTGCGGCATGGGCGGCCCGTGGTAGGCGTGGTGCGGGTGGTGGTAGCCGTGGTGCTGGCCGTAGCCGCCGTGGTGGCCGTAGCCGCCGTGGAAGCCGTGCCAGCCGAAGGGCGGGCCGTGGTGGTGGTGAAAGTAGGGGTAGGCACTGGCGTAGGCTGGGGGCGCCGGGTAGGCCGGGTACGGCTGGGCGCCGCCGGCCGGGTAGCCGATCATGAGCGCTGCGGCGGGGGCCAGCGGCGCGAGGGGCGCGAGCGACCCGAGTGGCATCCCGAACGCGGCGATCTGCGGCTCGGCCTTCGCGGCCCGCGAAAACAGCGACAGCAGCAGCAGCAACAGCGAGGACGCTCGGATCACCTGCGCAGAGCCGGCGCGCGCGCGTCACTCGTGGGGCTGAACAGCACACACGCCCCCTCCTTCCGCCCCACTCTCAGTTTCGTTCGTCCGATTCGATTGAAAATAAGTTCGTCGCCGCGTGTCCTCAGACACGTGAGGCGGACTCTTTTGCGTCAGACTTTGTTTTCGACCGACACAAGAGTTCGACACGTGTCGCCGCAAGCAGGTTTTGCCCGACACGTATGTTTGACGCTTTTGATAGACTCGCACATGTTTACAATTTCAAATTGTAACTTTATTACTTGCACCGTTGAACATTTTCCCGTAAACTTCCGACTACGCGAAAAAAAAAAGACCTTGCTGTTGGGATCAACTTTGGTTGATAGGCAAAATTCGATATCAGAAATCGAGAACCCGATGCCTACAGCCAGGAGCAGGTTGTCAAGACCGGACACTTGTACGATGAGAACTAAGCTGGGGTTTGTTCTACTCGTACAACTGTCCTGTCGTGACGACCAGCTCCTGGCTGTGGGCATCGGATTCTCGATTTATGCTATCGAATTTTGCCTATCAACCAAAGTCGATCCCCACAACGTTTTTTTTTTCTTTTTTCGTGTACTGTTCACAGTACAGGTACTCACTGCGGTGGTCATGGTGCAGGGCGTGGTGGTCGTGGCGCGCTAGGGCCTGGGTGTGCTGTGACGCCCCAGGCGCCGGCGTCGTCCACTTTTATACCGCGGGTGTCCAGCATCCCAGCCCTTTGTGTCGTGGGAGCGCCGCCGTCGGCGTAAGAGTTGCCGCGGATGACACTACGGAGGGGCGATGCTACACGAAAACAAAAAGAAGTGTTAGCTAATTTTTTAACGCTGGAGGTGGAGATTCCAAACCGTACGTAACTGCAGAGGCTCGCGGCTAATTTGTTCAGCAAGTGCAAAATTTCTAGATGCTCAGTAAAGGCACCAATTCGTGTAACTAATGTTACTAATTGGACAGCCAAGTCAATATTTTTTTACATTCAGCTTATATTTTTGCACGGCTGTAAGTTTCATTGCCCAGCTAAAGTGATTAGGTCAGGTCGTCAATTCGCTCTGCAATCTGCCTGTAAGTTCTCTCTTCGCTCTATTCGCTACTCCTTCTCTAAGAAACTCCCAGCCGAAAATTCCGGTCACGGTTACGGTTACGGTTACGGCTACGGTTACGTCTACGGTTACACTCGTAAATTGGACCCACTTCCGGTTACGGTTACGATTAAAGCTCCGCTTACGATTACGTTTACTGTTTCGAATACGATTACGGTTAGTCAGCCCGGTTACGGTGAGAACGTTCTGGTTACGGTGATGACGTATTGGCAGTAACTCAAAGCCCCTATGAGTACAGCGACATGTCGCCCATGTAAACTTTTGACGCCGAGCACAATGGTGGTGTTTTCGTTGCCGAATCTCTAACAGTTCTCAAGATAGCCAGGGGTTGAAAAATCGACTCTTTCCAAACTCCACACACAGGATCGACTTGTGTTTCCCTTGCGTTACCCATGACCGTTTCTCCCTGCGAAGCGTAGTTTAGGCACTACGACGTTTCAAAGTTTGATATTTTCCGGTTACGGTCGTAATCGTTTAACATTACTCGTAACCGTAACTGCTGACCGTAACCGGGCTACGGTTACGGTCGTATTCGTAAGCTTACTCGTAACCGTAAGTGTAAACCGTAACCGGACTCCGGTTACGATCGTAATCGTAAATTTTAACCGTAATCGGAGCGAATTACGGCCGTAATCGTAAATTTTGACCGTAACCGTAGCAAATTACGGCCGTAATCGTAAATTCTGGCCGTAACCGTAACCGGAATTTTCGGCTGGGCTCTCAAATACGCACCTGCGTCGTCTTTGTTGAAAATCGCGTGCCGGGTCCATGACCTTGCCATGGCCAAGGGGCGACGATATTATTGGTTCTTTAGCTCCTGATTTCATGGATCTCGACTGATTCAAGTAAGATTTCTTTTAATTACAAAACAAAATTTCATTCTAATTTTCGGTTCATAAAATGAAATGTGTCATTTTTTTTTCCTAGAAAGAATTCCAGAAATTTTTCTGGCGTTGTCTTAAAAAAATCTCATTAAGTGGGAAGCCAGTGGCCAAATAACGGCCTTAATGATAAGTGGCGGGGCGAACTGTCGCGCAGCCCCATTAGGTTGTCGGGCCGCCAGGTCGCCGCCAGGTCGCCGCTGCTCACGTCCACGCCCAATCTACTCCGCACGCGCGCGCACGTATTTCCCGTTTCGATGCCGATTCCACATTTTTGCATTTTTTGCATTTTTCACGACAGAACAGGTCGCACTGCTCGTGCGCACTACCCCCGCCTCTTACCGTTGCTTCCCATCCCGGCCAGGACCGGCCGCTGCAGCTGCGCCGACAGGTGCTCCTGCGCGGGCGAGCGGCCGGGGATTCCCCTCGGCTCGCGGACCAGCGCGTTCCCCGTGACAAGCTAATGAGCTCGTCATGAGGATCACATAGGACACAAGGCACGGTGGGACAGGTGGACATAGGAAGACAGACGGACAGGAAGAGGCGGCAAAAGGTGACGGGCAGGCCAAGGGCAACGAAGGTTCGTGTATTCCAGGGGTTGCGAATGCTTTTGGTCGGTCGGGGATATGTTATTGTGACTAATGCACTCACAGGTAATATGCAAAAAGGGACTTTGCAGACGTCATCCTGCTGCTTTTGCCTTTCCCGGCCAAACCGGCTGTCGCTGAGCGAGCCGCAGACGAGCCCCTTGCCCCTTGCTTTGGCACAAGGGCTGCTCTGCGCGTGACGTCAGCAAGCGACGCGCTGGAGGCGCTCAGTAGAGGAAAGGAAAGTCGCACACTGACCCCGTTCGGAGGTATTTTTAGGTTGATCATATCGCTCAGCTCCTGTGTACACTGGAATACATCACTGCTATCCAGAACTGGCCAGAATTTGCAGTATGTTATAGGTTGCCATAATTGGGCGTTTAACGTGGTCCAAAATTATTATTTAGCAAAGAATTCAAAAAATGACTACAGATACAGATGACTTAGTCTCCAGGGAGCGTTTCAATTTCGTTGAGAAGACTCATTTGTGTAAGTTTTATGGGAGAAAATGTTCATGTTCTTCTATTTTTTTTCTTTTATTTAAATAAATTAAATTCAATAAATAAACAAATATTCACACTCACACTCACATACGAAGCACTTGCGTACTTGACTGGACTTTTGGTTTTCTTCTACGCACTTTTTCTCTCTGCCATAACGTCAGCGAGATAGGAACACGCGGGTGCGCTTTGTAGCGCAGAGTTCTGCATTGCAATCGACTCGCATCGCAAGGAGATTTAACACAGTAAGTTATTCAGGCTGGTGTCGGTCGTCATCGAGTCCTCTCTCAGCCGTGGTGGTAGTGACCGCCGCCACCGTGGTGGTGACCGCCACCCCCGTGACCACCGTGGTAGTGACCGCCGCCGCCGTGTCCCCCATGGTGGTGCTCGTAGTGGCCGCCGCCGTGGTGGTGATGGTGGTGGTCGGGGTAGTAGCCGTGGTGGTGGTGGTGGTGTGGGTAGCCACCATAGCCACCACCGTAGCCGCCGCCGTAGTAGCCTCCGAAGGGGATGCCAATCCCAAAGCCGAGCTGCGGGGCAGCCATCGCCGCGGCCACGGCGACAACAAGGAACACCTGAGAGCGAGGAAAACAAAGTTTTATGAACGAGTTGTTTGGAATTCGAGACTCTTGCCTTATGGGATGGTTATAAGTTTTAGTTTTATGAATAACCATTGTTTGAATGAATTAATTACCACAATGTTTCTTTGTTAAATTAACGGCAAAGGTTTGAAAAATTTCGAAAACTTCACAAATTTTATCTGTTTTAAATAAGGGGATTTTCATGGCCGAACGCAGATATTCCATGAAGACTTACCAAAACGGCTTTCATGACTGCTATTGAGACTTCTGATCGGGTTGGAGGAGGAATCCTGCTGGACGGTTACTCGAGGAAGGGACGCGCTATAGTGATGCCTCCTCCTCGGGCCCCAGCAGGTTTATATATCCAGCTGCCTTGTGCAGGACAGGGGGAGACACAGAGGATCAGGATGGGCGCCGGGGTGGGACGCCGGGGCGGGGAGGGGGAAGGGGCGTTCATCGCGATGCCGAAGGGGCCTGGGGGGCGCGGCGCGGGAGACCCCGCAGGGGACGGCGGGGACCCCGCCGGCAGGAACTGGGCTGTCGTCCAGCGGTGAGGGGGAGGGGTCAGCCCATATCACCGAGCTTTGCAGCGTTGTCGCAAATGGCCTTTTTAGAAGTAAAATGCACACCATCCCAGCTGTGTCACCAATATCGTAACACTTTGTATATTATAGGTGAACTTAAACTCTTTCTCACCCGGTATATCAATCTGTTAAAAACGTGTGCGCAAAATAATTGTTCACCTTTTTTTTCGAACCGATTCAGGTTTGTCATCTGGTTCAGACCAGTCTCATGTTGTGTTGCTCCCAATCACACTCCACACGATTTATTTTTTTACATCTTATTTTGCCGGGTGTGGGGTGCATCAGGGTCAAGAACGAGGGGCGTAGGAGGGGGGGGGGGGGGAGAGGAGGGCAGGGAGAAAAGTTCTTCCTTTCCCTCGGGTTGCTCATGTCGTGCACTTTCTCGATAATTTGTCTTTATTGGGGCCTGTGTGATTATACGAACGGTGCGCGTGGCGCCTCTGGGAGCGATGGGCCCGGAGCCAGAACCAGCACAGTTGACCAGTGCAGTTGTGACGCATGCACCACGCGGGGGCATCCCCTAGAGCTGCAGTACAAGCTCAGAAAAAGTGAACGCAAACATTTTCTAAGAAGCGGCGGAAAATGTAGTCCTAACTCGACGGAAAAAAGGGGGAGGGCGAGCTTCAACCACTACCCCCTCCCCCCTCCCTACACCCAACCCACTCCCACGCACACACTCTTTCGTCAAGCGCAGATCTAGCCGATCTGTGAACTATTGAAGTCCTTTTCTGTAGAATGTGCTACATTTTATAGCAACCATTAGTACACCTAGAGAGAGTACACAACACATATTAATAATTGTATTGCGAGGCTCTATACTGGTAATAGTGTATTTCGACCAACGGAGGAAGAAGAAGAGCGGGTAGAACATAAAGGTTCCTGATTAGCCGAGCGCTTACCCCCACTACCGGCGTGACGTAGAGGCGGGAAGCTCTCGACCAATCGGTAACGTTTATGTTCTACCCGCTCTTCTTCTTCCCCCGTTAGTCGAAATACACTATCTGATGTCATCGATGTTTCATGTTATGAGGTACTGATTATATTCTTGACGGAGTCATTTTGTAAAGTTCAAATTGTACATCCCATGTGCACGAATGGTAAACGTTTCATAATTGGCATAACGTAATTTTCCGTTTTCAAAAGACAATGCTTTTGTGTGTAAAGGTTGAGTGTTCAGGCAAATGGTCCAAAATAGAGTTGAGTTAGGTTCGGCGTGGCTCCGTACCAGTGTTCCGGATCGGTCGGGTATGCGCGCAACTGACAACCCCGACACACTGAGAGCGAACCCGACCCGCCCGACCCGATTCGGCTGCCCAGCCGCCTGCAGTTCGAGAGAGACAGTAGACGCTGTCTCACTCGCACGTCGACTCGTCGGGTTCGGTGCGAGATCTGAACCCGACCGATCCGGAACACTGCTCCGTACCCAGCTTTAACGTAAAACGCCCTCGTTAGCAGGTGAGCACTCCGTGCTCTATACCCTGTATTTTCTGTAGTGTACAGAGATCTGAACTCTTTGTGCTATCTGTGTATAGTAGTGCTCACAGGTTTGTGCTCTCTGTATAGTCTGTACACTATTTATTTCATTGGCTGTGCACGCTGCACGCTGCTGAAAATAACTATATGTGTATCGTCTGGTTAAAACATGTTTCAGTTTGTAGTCATACAGAAATAACAACAGCTTGTGTTATGTCTCGCTCACTCCGTGGGAAAACCTTTCAGAGCGGCCTTCCTATTGGTGTTTGCAGAGCTCCCGCTGCTCGCGCTGTCTTTCGAGCCGAGGCGCTAACCTGTGACGTGTCTCCGTTGTTTGTGTCCTGCCCTGACGTCGCGCGAGTATCATCGGCCTGCTGGAAAAATAGCACCAGAGAATTGTTGTTCGGAACAGAAATAGCCTTCTCATTATAATCGACGGCAGACCGTTGGATTTGTGCGTCTTTAAGGTCGTGAACATGCTGCTTTTGTTTACATCACCTCCACCTTCCTGCCTCCTTCTGCTCGCGGTCTGAGAAATTGGCCACTGTTCTCTCCGCCGGCGTTTCCAAGTCGGGAAGCTAAACTTGAATTATCATTATGGCTGTTATACCAGCAGTATCATCAGTAATGGCCAGGTTTACGGTAAAACTTGGCGTGATGAAATTAAGATTCCTTGGGTCTCAGAAGGTGAACGGTCCTCTCACTCCGTACGACGAGGGAAGTCGTATCATTTATTTGTACTCCATTTCCCCATACCGCACGTGAACTTATTACTGTCTACGTGATTTTTTGTGGGTTTTCTCGAACGCGGGCGCGACCATACCACGAACAGCGTTTTCCCTTGCTGTGTCTGCGCTCAGCGTGCACCGTGGGGCCAACAACGAACGTGACTGCCATGGCCCATCGCGCCCCTGCGGGTATGCCAATAGCAACAGTGCGGCGTTCGCTCTGATACAGAGGGTATTTTGTACGAGGACGGTATGTTGTGTACACGTACACGTACTCCGGTGTACTCTTGCATGTACTCCGAGCAGCATACACTGTAAATCAGAGTGCGATGAACTGTTTAAAAAATATAGTAGTAAATTTACGATATACTTTGTAATTAACATTTACAAAATATGTTACAAATTTATGACACTCCAAACCTGCTCATCGGTGAATTCCAAGTCGATACATAGTGCTTGTGTCTTAGAACTTTGAAATGTAATTTTACGACACGCTCTAAGGAAATTTTCCCCGTAAAAACCTACACCCATTTTTCCGAGTGTGACAAACTGCACACTGCACAAAATTGCATTGACTTATGGTTCAGCCCAATTGAGATGATCATCACAAAAATACGTGTTTGTGGTGATCATATAACTAATTTGGTCGATACTTGAGTCATTACAATTTTGTGCAATGAGCATCAAACCGTTTCGTAATCAATCTGGAATAAATCGCATTTACATTTTTGTCACACTAAAATGTATAAAATTTATCAGAGCGTCAGTTTAGGTTCGTGCGTACTCCGATGTATTCCAGTGTAGGCTGGACTCTGCGCCATGTCTCTTTACTCTTGTGTACGCCAAGCAGCCGTGGTATCGACCCCTGGCTCACAGGCTGCGATGAGGCGACGAAGGAAGAAATTTGGCACGGCGTGACTCGCACCCCTCCGGCGGCACTCGATCCAGGCCTGCTTCCAGGTGTGCCGTCTACGGAAGCGCGAATTAGGCAAATTCTAGATATAAAAAACACTCCCGCGAAATCGCCAAGGCTCTGCATGACGCACTCGGCTGCTGCCCGGCTCGCGGCCACTTCGTCCCGACAACAACATCACAAACTGTCTCCCCTTTCACTTTTGCAAAAGAAGACGAGACCGAGACAACATTAATTTTTTATATTTGCTATTCTTATGTTATCTGAATGGGGAGCCGCTGAGATATCGGCTTGCCGTGAGCACCATACTGCGGGCTGATTTTCTGCGTGCCTTGCGTTCGCACTTATTCGACTGCGAAAAAGAATGAAAACCAGAAAGAGCGGCATCGAGGGCACGAATTTTCAAGCTCGAAATTATTGCAGAAATTTCAAACTAAGTTTCATATTTATCAATGAAAAACTAAGACATTTTAGGAAAAATAAGAAAATTTTGAACAATAATGTACCGACAGTTCTCTTCCGAAAAATTCCTAGTCGTGGGTGTGTCGGTCACCAGGTGCAGGTGCAACATGTCCCGGTGAATGACTGGCCTGGTTACTCTCCTAGAAAAGACGAGGACAAGTCGCACCTCATTTTGCTGGACGGAGCGACCTTGGGACCGTGTCACGGCTCGCTCCTGACGGTCAAGAGTCAAGGACCGGCGGAACGCCGCACGATCACCAAGGACAGGGGAGGGGCGGGGGTCTGTCTCTCTCCCTTCCCTCCCCCCTTCCCCTCTTTCTTTCTCCCTCTCACCTTTACTTCGCGCTGCTGCCCCTCTCGCTAGCGCAAGCATCGGGGGGATTCCCCCCGCGTGACCAGCTGTAAGCAATGCGCCGCAGCCGCAAAGAGGAAACAAAGAGTGCGCGGGTAAACTATTCTGCACAAACACACAGACACACACAGACACACACACACACACACACACACACACTCAGAGTTTGGTTCCGACCGCAGAGAAGGGGGGGGGGGGGCGTGACGCACGCACCGGGCAGTGAGGAGGTGCGTGTGGACCCCGCCACTCCCCGCCACTCCCGCCGGAACGCTCGCCATAATGAACGAGATCTCGGTGATGACGCTGCTGATGGGTTCATGGCGATGATGATGATGATGAAGTCGGTGTTGGCGCCGAGAGTGCGGCGGCCGATGACGCCGGTTGTGGGGCAGTTTAGTGAGCACAGGCAGGGCGTGTATTAATGAAACAGTTTATTACTGCTCAAATTTTGTTCGTCCGTCTCGAATTTTGTCGAACGCAAATTCTTGGGAGGGCGTTCGCCCATGTCAGTCTGAGGTGGCAGACTCGGCGGGCGGCAGGTCAGGGTGTTGTCGTTCATGCTTTTGTTGTCGCTCTTGTTGCTCCCGGACGCTTCTTACTTACCTTTTAACGAATTGTCCGGCTGTGCGATTAATGATTCGGCCAGTGAGATACCGAAGCGTACCAAAGTCACTTTGGGTTCGGGTTTTAACCCCCC